ATGCTATTAGACATGCACATGTTATATAAACTATATTTTCTTAACATATGTTTTTTTGGAGTGGAATATTCCTAGTTTATTAGTTTTATTAATCTAAAATCAGGTCAATTATCAATTGAAAACTTGATAGATTTTTTCCCCAATTTGAACTCGAATTTTATGAAACTATCGATATGAGGCTTAAAAATTACTAACGCCATTAGCGCACTTAAATTGAAGGAAAAAACTAGAATTCGAATAGAATCTGATAATACAAGAATTACTTGACGTTAGTCTGAGGACACGTGGCGGTGATGTATGCTCCGACGTCCACCTTAGTGCGTCTCCTTTGCTCCGATGCTTGCAAAACAGAACATCGGGATTGTCCTCAGGGGTAGACCCTCTGATGCCTAAGTTAGAATCGATTTTAAGTTTTCAGGGTGATGATTGCGGAATGAGTAGAAGAGAGAGTGTCGAGTAGAAGAGAATGTGGTTTATCTTGACCTAGGTCGTCCTTTTATAGGACTTGGACGACTTAGGTCTCCCTTCTGCAGACGAAGGACTTCCCAGCCCACTAATTTGGTGGACTGACCAATCCAGTTTGATATCGAACCTATGAAATATGGTCTTCATCGGTTTTTAATTCCCTACAAAATACACAAACATCTATAGTGAAACTTGCAATTCATGTTTTACCCTATCATGTTTAAATGACATGTTTTAGAAAATTATATAAATAAAAGTACAAAATGCAAAGTATAAATTATACATTTTATTAAAAAGGTGTGATAGATTGACTCGCTGACAACAGTAATTTTCATACAATATGTAAAATTTAAAGTGTTAGATTTTGTATCTCATGTTATATCTTGATATTATATACTATTATTTTCCTATGTATTGTATCTCAGATTATTTCGAAAATATTAATGAAAAATAATTTATCATTACTCAACATTTATTAAAGAAAATAAATTTTTCGAGGTAAATATACTATACAAAAAGGAGATAATGCTCTTCTATCCTCGGTGGACACATGTTAATATGTCACACATTAATGATATTAATATGTTCAAAAAATATATCACTAATTTGTGCATATCACATAACCGATATGCATATTAACATGTGTCCGTGTGTAGATGATCATTACTGAACAAAAAGGGGGTTTGGAATTAGAGAAAAGAGCTTTCTTCACACTCCGACCGTCTCCCCAATTCCCAAACAGCAAATATTCGCTGTTTTTCAGTAAAAAANAAAAAAAAAAAAAAGACAATCACGCACCCTTTCTCTCTCCTCGCTGTACCTTTCTCTCTCTTGTTGAGCTCCAACTAGGTTCAATTTTCCAAATAGAAACGAAAAATTGAAAGGAGAGAGAGAGAGAGAGAAAGAAAGAGGAATTTGTTTGCAGGGAAGGAGATCTCCCGCTTGAATCTGTTTCAAATTGATCCAAGATGAATGACCTTTTGACGGTGAGTGGTTTTATGGTTAATTTTGGCGTTTGATTGATATTGATCTCCCTGACATTGAAATTGGGATGAAAAAATAGTTATTTTAGTTTTAATCATGTTTTATGGTTTAATTTGATGTTTGAATTTGATCATGATTGATGGGTTTATTGTAGTTTTAATCATGTTTTGTTTCTGTTGTAGTTTTTATGGTTTA